GTCTTTCCTTACAAAGTACAGTCTTTTGTGTTTTGACTTGCAAGAGAGGCACAAAACGCATAAGAAATGTATTAAGTAAATGACCTTTGTTTCAATGACTAAAGTTATGAGAACAAAACAAGTCTTCTTCCCATTGGACTGCAAGAATTTATAGGGACAAACACAACCCCAATGTGGGTATAAAGGCTACAATGTTCCCTCAGAAAGATCAGATTAAATACATATATATATATGCTTCCATAAAAATGCTTAGGGTTCAGTTGTCAGCTGCAACTCAGACCATGTCTACAAGTCTAATAAAACGTAGTGAGAACATAAAAAATGTAAAAGCGAGCATTTCGGCAGGTGCAGAATACATTACAGCATAAAGAAATGCACTTACAGGAAGCCCTCTCTCTCCAGTCCCTGGGGGTCCAGGTTCTCCTTTAGGACCAGGCTTCCCTTGTAAAGCCACAGTGTTGCTGTGGTCTGCAGACGACACTGGACACACTTCGCACGGGTCGCCCTGAAGATTTAACACAGATCAAACACACAAAGTGCATGTAATGAGATAGGCCACAGACATACAGATGAAAAGGAGATCAGGGCAGAGCTTATCTGACATTATACCTTCTCTCCTTTAGAACCTGCTGTGCCTCTTGGTCCCTGAGAAAACACCAGAATCCATGTCAAACGCTGATGTATTAGCTCATACAGTGCCGTCTGCAGTATATGCATGCATTATTGATTGATAATCAATGTTTAAAAGAGTTTCTCACTGGATCTCCTTGCACTCCATCGTTTCCTTTAGGTCCCATATCTCCCTGTTAACACAAATATAGAACTGAACACCATTGCATAAAAACATGCTTATTTTACTTGCTAATAATATTTCCATAGGTTTGGTAGCATCAACAAAACAAGTTTATATTTGAGTTGTCTTGACTAATAAAACTAATATGATAAGCTTGATTACTTGTACCCAATTACTAATTGTGCTCAAAAAATGCTTTTAGGACATTGTTAAAAACTAGATATTATTCCATTATTTCTATGTTCGGATTGTATTTTATTTTATTTTATTTTATTTTTTTTACGTATTAAGTGATGTTTTATAAGAGTACTATTAATAATAGTACTGGGTAATTAAAAAAATAAAATAACATAAAAAAGTTTTTCTTGCCTTCTAGTAAAAGGGTTGCATGTTTGACTCCTTATTGCCCAGGTTGGGCTAAAGACTAGCAAAACAAGGGCCATTAAAAAAAAAAAAATAGTTTGAAATATTTTTCCAGACCTATAAAACAGTGTTATTCCTCAAATATATACCAGTGTGAAATAAATGTGTCGGCCAATAATAAACATGTTTACTTTACATGAAGCTGTTTAGGTTGGTGTCATTTCCTCCACTCAATCTTTCCTTTAAGCTGCTGTATACATTCATAACCATCTGCTCACAACAGACTCATGGTCAGGCTGAGATTTAATATACACTATTATTTTACATTATTACTGTTTAGTGTATATCTTAGGTCCTTGTATACTGTTTATTTGTATACTTTATATTTTTGCTATTTTTGGGTGTAACTGGGACCTTGTGTACACAGTTCCGTTCCACCTCATGTATCACATGTGATGCAAATGACAATAAAGAGCCATGAACCTTGAACGTTGAACGTCTGGGTTACAATGTGAATATGGTATACAGTATATATACAAAGTATGTGCTGAGCACAGACAATGTTAACGTTGGTGTTGCTGAGGATGTTGAATGTATCAGTCTGCATGACTGGCAAATGTTGGCGTTCCCATAGTTTTTTCAGCTCTTGGTGGATTGATACCATCACAGCCTCAATCATAATTACTTTATACTCAGCACAAACATTTGTGTAGTAACTCAAGTTGTTTTGTAATTCATCTGATCTGGTCTGAGACCTGCCAGTTAACACAGACTTTAACTCAGTCTCAGCATATGCATTTTTTATTACCTATAACCAATAACTTTTTTTTTTTATCCTTAACCATAAAACATATGGTAAATAACTGACTGTCAACTGACTGTTACACTTATTTCAAATGGTAACCATTAAATTGAGTATGCTATTTAAAATTTGTAGTTGAATCCTTTTGAACATTAAATATGGGCTCTTATGTCATTCTGTTTTCTTTCACTTATTCCTGTTCTTGCAACTACAAATATAAATTGTATTACATTACTGATAAAAAAAAATAAAAAAATTGTATTGTTTCAAAATGTTAGTTTACCTTTTCTCCTTTTCCGCTACCAAGGTCACCAGGAGGGCCCTATGAGAAAATTAATGTTTAAATATATTGTGTGGTATAAAATATATTTGTTGCACAGATGATAGGACACAGGAAATAAATCCACTGCAAGTTTTTCTTATTAACAAAGAGCACTCACTGGAGGACCGGGCTTTCCAATTCCTGGTGGACCTGGAGGTCCAGGTTTTCCTGGCTCCCCTGCCAACCCTTCAGGACCCACCACACCGGGTGTACCCTGGCAGACAGTTTCAACAGAGATTCTATTAAATCCAAATAGGACTAAATGAATGTGACAGACAGGCGGATAGTTGAACCTCCTGGACTTAAAGCGAACAAACCTTGTGTCCTTTGGGACCGACTACACAGACGGACCCTACTCGACCCTGGGAAATGGTGACAGACAGAGAGGAAAGAGACACCATCAGTGTCATCACTCAAGCTGTGCTCACGTTTCTTTAAAAAATGTGTAAGAATGTCCCTTATTTTGTTTACTGTTTCACATCGAGAGAGAGAAAATTTGTTTAAAAGCGTGTAAGATTAATTGTCTTCAGTGGCGCGTAAGCAATATTTTCTGTCTGCTTGTTTCAACACCAACAGGCGCATTTATATTCACGATGTCAGATGGATGGCATGCATAACAAAATCTATTCTCATCCAGATCCATCTGGTCACAAAAAGAACTCAGCTTGGCAAACAGCTTAATATGACGTTGTCTGATGCCAAAACTGCTGGAATACCCCGCTGCACACAGAGGTTGCAATTTATTCCTCAAAACAGTTGTATGCATTTTTCCAGGATCATCGCATCGTACGAGAAAGATTAAAAAGGTTTAAGTCTTTCTGAATAGATGCCTGCCTGTGTGGGAGACGAACAGGCCAGTCAATGAGGCAGCATTGATTGTGCGAGCTTTGTTGCTCTAGCCTAATCTAACAGGCATTAACGGGTGGAGTTAACTCGGCAGGAGAGAGCAGACATCAATGGGAGTCTGAGTTTAAAGACTAATACCACATAAGTTTCAAGAATTTCCGCACAAGCCTGATAAAAGTAGCTGCGTAAGTGGATTTGTTTGTGTATTTAGAGCAGTAGGCTCACATGTACCGTGTTGTAAACATATGTTTTAAGCTTTCTTTAAAGCAGATTTAATGGTGAAGAACAAAATTAACAGATGTTTCTGTTTTAGGGAAGAAGCAATACAAAAAACAAAACACCTACATCCTTCCCTGGTGTTCCGGTCAGACCTTGTGGACCGGTCTCTCCTTTTTGACCTTTTTCACCCTGTACAAAGCCAGGGAGAAGCATAGAGGGTTAGAATTTAATTGCACATACATTAAAGGGTCACATCCTGATTATTAATCACCACAAAGTTTCTCAAACTGCTCACCCTGTAGCCAAGTGCTTCACCCCAGTTGGAAGCCATTCCCTGTGGAGAAAAGGAATGAAGAGAAGGCCCAGATCAACGATTTAGATCTAAAAAAAGAGACTATGGTAAATGCTCACACTACCCGAGTATGACAAACTCTGTGACTAGTCAGTGAGACTTATGAACTGCCAGCAGGAAGCTGTAGCCATGTTCACACAGCCATGCAAACCACACAACTTAGGGAATAGAGTAAATCTTTATCATGATGATATCATGAAAAAAATACAGTTTAAGGTAAATACAGATGAGTTCAGTTGGTTCAAAAATAAATTCAGGCCTCCTTCATTTTTTTTTTCTTCTTTTGATTTTTTTTTTTTTATACTTCAGCCTGATGCTACAAGTATTTATACATAGCAATGTATATTTTTTTTGTTATTTTATATATATTTATATATATATA